TAGGATAATTTCGTCCTGTACAAGCAGTGATAACTGGTTGGTTGCTATCAGTTCATCATCATATCATATATCTAAGGCACTTCCATTCAGAATATATTTTACTAAATTTTATCATAATATGCATTATGGCAATTGAAAATATTCTACTTTAAAATGTCTACATATTAGTTTTATTTCCCATTTTATTTGGATAAATTATATTATTATTATTATTATTATTATTACATTATAGCACAGTGGTTCAGTAAATAACACTCATTCTTCCATGTTCTCTAGTTTTCTCCCATGTAGTCAGAATACCTGGTGTGTCTAAATTGCTAGCAATGTGTGTGCGTGCGTGTGCCCTGCAATAAACTCGCAACCCATACAGAGTGTACTTCTACCTTATGTCGTATGCTGCCTAAGACAGACTCCAGATCCCTCTGACTATAAGTGCTTGGAATACGGATGGATAACAATAATAATAATAATAATAATAATAATTATTATTATTATTATTATTATTGATACAGTAGCGTCTGTTTAACATTTAAAATGGCTATAATGCAATTACTTTATGATTACATTTCCAATATTTTTGTCCACGCACAGTAAGCAGTATCACACTAGGCTTCGAAAGGATGGTGGGTCCAAAAAAATAACATTCCGCCTCACTTCGTTACCTTTTTCTCTTCTCATAACGGGGATGATTTTAGCGCGTCAACCTCAATATTCAGACACGTCAGTTAAGCGCGACGACGTGTTACATGGATTTAAGGAAAATTAAACATTTTGAGTAAGGTTTCTGTACAAATTAAGTATGAATTAAATTGCTCCGGTCTTAGTGCCTTGAACATTATGATGTGATATGAAATGTTGTATTTAAACAAGGCAAAGTATTCAGTATTTCAACATTACTAAAAAAAATCCAGTTAAGTAAGAGAAAATGCATTCTTATTGCAATATCATATTCATCATATATTATAATCGGTACCCCCGCGATGAAAATCGATCAAAAGTTGGAAGAATGAAATTTATTTTACTTGATTTTTTTTTTTTTAAATGACGAACGTTAACCTAGATAACCTACAACCAGACGGAAATAAAGTACGAACTGCGGGGAAGCGTTTGGACACCCCAGTATCTGTCAGGTCGGCCTACGCTACACTGCACCGCACTCTAGTAAAAACATTCAAAATGTACTTTTAAAATAAGCTGGTATTAAGTATTAAAAGTGTACTTATCCAGAGGTTCACAAGCACAGGAATGTGACTCACCCACGCGCACCTCGCGGACCAGCGCCGCTCACCGGGTAGGAAGCGATGGAGACGCCGCGAGGAAACGCCGGCTGTGCGTTTCCAGCACCCTAACCTAATATCATGCGCTTCCCCTAAAACGACACACGTCCAAAAGACAAACGGCTAAACTGCGCACTTTCTGCAGATCTGATTAATGTACGATAAAGAAGAATGATGCGAAAGATAAATGGAGAAAAGACGCTCTCATAAAACCAAATGTTAAGTTTTACTAACAAGCGGATAAAAGCGGGTTACCTAAAGCAGCTGGGAAAGAAGAGCAGGAGATAGAGCGCTCTGTGCCACGGTCCCTCGGCTAATTTGGAGGCCCTGCTTGCTCGCAAAGCGCTACCCCATTCAGCCACCAACGCCACTTGTCACATCAAAAGGCGTTGCCGTGGCTACGGCGCTACATGCTGCTGATGGTGATTGGTGGGGGTGCTGTGGGGGAGATGGTTCAGGATGGGCTGTTTATGGCACAAAAAGAGCGGGAGAGATGGAAATGGGGAGGGAAGAGGGGGGGGGAGAGTCCATTTTTGACTCAGTTTAAGAGAAATGTTGTCCTTGAGTATTTATTGGAGAATGAGTCACTAACTAGAGCACCTCTTTGACAGAGAAACAAAACCTTCTTCTGTGTCAAAATCCAAACTTTCATCCTAACAATATAAAGACAGAAATCCCATTTTAAAACAGCTTTTTAAAAACACAATGCCAACAACCTTGGCATTTCTGCATAGAAGTTAAGAACTCCTGAACACTGGAAGATAGAACCAAGTAGACTTATATAAATTGTATATGTATACATCACTGTAGCACTAAGAGTTTTTGCCTGCTGTAGTTGACCAGAATAACATATAAATTGGCAGCCTGACGCACTTTATTTTCACCTCCTCAGTATACTATAAGTGTACTATTATAATTACGCAGTACCAATAAATATGTACAGTCAGATCACAAAAAGGCATGTACTCTGATAAAGTAAAATCTAGTGGATCTGTAACACACACACACACACACACACACTTGGCCAATAAACCTGATTCTGATTCAAAATGGCCCTACATAGCCATCATCTTCCATTAACCACTTAGTACAAGGATCACAGGGCACAAAGCCTGGGACACCTGGCATGGAATGTCAGTCCATCACAGGGCACACACACACTGACACACACACTCACACACACACTGACACACTCACACACTGACACACACACACTCACACACACTTACACTGACACAAACACACTGACACACACACTCACACACACATGTAGGGTAAACATATCCTTATGGGGACCGCTCATTCATTTCAATGGGAAAAATGCTAACGCTAACTATGACAACCTTAATTAACCCCTACCCTGCCCTAACCATAACCATAAGTAACCTAACAAAATACAAGAGTTTTTGCATTTTTAGTTTTTTCATAGCAGTCACCGAGTTTTATAAAATAAGAAACCAGTCCCCATAAGGGAAAAAAAATGGATATTTATCACGTTATGGGGACATTATGTCCCCATAAGGATAGGTAAACCCGCTCACACACACTGACACACACTCACACTGACACACACTCACACACACACACACTGACACACACTCACACAAACACACACACACTCACACACACTGACACTCACACAAACACACTCACACACACTATGGGCAATTTTAGGGACACCAATTTATCTGCCTGCATGCTTTGGACTACAAGAGGACACTACAAAACCCACAGAGATATTGGGAGAACATGCTCATTCCACACATGGGAAGCCAGGGGTGGGAATCATACCCACAATCCTGTTACCATTTTGACCTATTAACATCTATCTAACCAGATAAAAAGGATTCAGTTAACATTACAGCTTGCATTATCCATAAAGAAAGCTTTCCCTTGACATGTTTGGTTAACTCAGCATCATTAATGGTCCAATGATCCATCATTTTACAGATTCCAGGTTGACAGAGACAAATGATGAAAAGCAATGCACCATCAGTAAATGGCCATTGTTTCATTTGTGCAAGAAGCCAAATTACTTGTGTTTCTAATATATTTGTCCCCTGCTGGTGGGAGGCCACACGCCCTCACAAGGTCAGCCTCCTGTGATGCTGTGACAGGTGTCGCTGCATATTAGACACCAGAACCGCAAGATTAAAGTTCAGGGCCCCTGAACGGCATCAGGAACAATACAACAACACCTAAGGTTTTCAGATTGAGATCATATATGCGGCCTTGCTGGAAGGATGTGATGAGGGAAAGTAATTTATTTCTTTACATCTGTTTTGCTTTTTATGAGTATAACAACTGATTTCCAAATACTGATTCCAAGAACAATGCAAAAGCTGCTCTGACACAGAAGATCAAGACAGTATAGCTGAGCAGAAGGTTAGTGACAGACCTTGCGTTCAACAATACAGAAAGCTGGACAGGACCATACAAGAACACAAGTCTGAAGAGAATCTGCAAAGGAAGTCAGAAATACAGCAGCATATATTGTATGAAACTGGCACTTAGAAACATGAATTCTTAGAAAAACACATTCATGCTGTTATACAGATATTACACTAAATAGAAAGTCATTTTTTTATTATAGAGAATTAAAACAGCAACATGCAGCTCACAGTCACATTGAGTCCATCTTTCAATCTTTGTTTTGTCCCATTGATATTCCACCATTCCTCTGCTGCTGTACGAAATGACCGTGCCGTGTAGCGTGTGTGGGTGTGGCATGTGTGTGTGTGTGTGTGGCATGGGTGTGCGCGCGTGTGTGTTTCTTCACGCGTATGTGTTCACTTATGCAGAATGACAATGGTGCCCAAACTATCCGCAATGCGCTGTGAGCCAGTATTGCAATTAACAAGATTGCAGGTCGATCGCAGCGGGGGGCCGTGGACAGGCAGCTCCTTTTCAGCGTGGGCCACGGAAAAGGGGGCCACGGTAACAAGAAAATGTAAATAAATGAGCTGAATCTGTGGGGAAGAAAAAGCGAGGGCGGGCGGGGAGGGGGGGGGGTATCCTCCATAATAAAGGGGCTTGAATAGAGGCAGGTGCAGCCAGGTCCGCAGCTCCAGGCACAGACGGGCAGGAGCTGTGGACTGAGAGGCACACACAGAAAACAGCCAGCAGCATGGCGAGCAGAGCCAACCGCCGGCGAGAGGGAGAGAGAGAGAGCGGGCGGGCGGGCGAGCAAACTGGGATCATTAAAAAATATGAGCAGCAGGATGCAACAAAAGACATTATTCTGCACTGAAAGGGCCACGCTAACTGCGAGAAGGCAAGAGCGCACAAAGGGAAGCCCAAAGAGAGAGGGAGCTGGGAGCAACAAAAAGAGGGAGAGTTAGAGAATGACAGGAAAGATAATGCCGGGGGACACAGAGAGAGACGCACTGGGGAAAAGGAGAGGGAGTGAGGAGGTGATACTGCTAAAGGCTATATGTGTATACAGGCTGCAAGGAGGAGAGTTTAGTGAAAAGAGTGAAGGAGTGCAGCCATTGCACAAGGAGCCTGTTGTTCTCAATAAAAGACAGAATCGACTAATTCTTAGTAGCTTTGCAGCTCACTGCATTCATCTGGCTTCCTCGCAGCTTACAGCTGAGAGAGCGGTCTTCTGTCAGCACTCGCCTCTACCCACAGCCAGCCTGGCAAGAAGCGCAGTGTCTGATCCACATGCCCCTTTCTCCCCGAAAGCACACCGGGAATCAGCGGAAAGCAAGCACTCCCTACCTCCCCTACACCCGTCTGGATGATCTTCAGGCCTGTCTCAGACTCCAGGAACGTCTTCTCCGCCACTGTGAGCAGATAATAGGACACGACGCGTTACGAGTGTCTGAGCACATGCTATTCAGTGTGGAACAGGGTGAGATGTGGAGGGAGCAGCAATACATGGTGACACGGCTCACATTTATATTTATAGGAACATCGCCTACACTGCATGCAGAGATACAATCACTAAAACAACTGTAAGGTCATGACTACATTACCTGGACTATAGATGTGGAAATCAAAGGCTGTTACCGGTATAGATCACAAAGTCCGTTTTTTTTCCCAATCTAATAGTAATCACTCGCTTACAATTTCAAGTAAATTTCAACCTAATTGCAGAAATGTAACTACATAATAGTACATATTGCTAGCACTTTAGGATTCCCATGGATTACTAGAACAACCAATGTTTTTAAATGGAAAATAAGAATTGCATTTTGGCTGCTTTGTTATTCTCTATAGAAACTGATAGAAATAGCATAGGGTTTGACAAGAATGGACTCAAACCATCATCCAACTACTATTAAAAGGAGAAGCTACTGGGGGAAAGGGATTGATGTTTAATGCTGTCCAGCCTCTGAAATACACTACAGATAGAAAACAACAGATATTCTCAGTAGGAATCAGCCAGATAATTAGTTGGTTCTTTGATACGTCACTGTATTTAAAGGTAAAGATGATAACTGTGAGGATGCAGTCAAAGATGAAAGATGAACATGCAGCTAGAGAAAGACTGAATTTAAGCTTCAGTCCCATTTATTTTCTGATGGGGTTGGTGATGTAGCCATTCATTCCGGAAAAGCTAGAGACAAAATCCACAGGAGCCGTGGGAAGGAGGCCCTGTGATGCTGGAATCAGACTGGAAGTGCCAGCCTTGGATATGTGAACCAAACACTCTAAGCGTGGCCACCCACCTTCAGCTGTGCCTTAAAAACCAGTATAACTGTATAACAATCACATGATGGACCGACTGCGCAAACACATAGATAGATGTTAACATCGAGATGGAGAGCATGGTCGTGAGGAAAAAGAAAGCAAAAAAGTGCAGATAATTCAGCTGATTTCCACAGATCTACTAAGCCTCCTTATATCTGTGTTTGGACAATCAGTAGGAAGAAACTCACTTGCTCTGTATTTTTCTGCTTTTAACACGTTTCCATTATTCTATCCGCACGTGAAAAGCAGAGCCGCTACTCACCGGCTTTCTCAGCCACGTCCTCCGCACTCAGGTTCTGACTGTTCTGCCGAATCCGGAACGTCAGGGCAGGGCCGACCACGCTGTGAGGCACAGACAGAACAGCCAGCTCATACACCCATACGCAAACATGTCTGCACGCACAGAAGTCCAAGTCGGTCGCTGCGGGGTGGGGCATGGCCGTTTGAGATGCCTTCAAGCTCTTGGATTTGATTCAGGCACTCTCTACCATGTGGTTTATTACAGGAATTGTGCAACAGGCAGCTCAAACATCAGGCCATCTGTGTTTATGTCAGGACATGCTTTGGGGAACATGCGGGGTCATCCTACCTGATGTTGATGAAGGTGCTGGTGGTGAGGTGAACTCTCTCAGCCAAGGTCTCCAGTAGACGCACGCCATCAAATAAACTCAAGGGGCTGTGGGGAAACAGGCAGCCATGGAGTGTTATTGCTAATATCCCCCCCCCCACAACACACACACACACGGGTTGTGCCCTGAAACTGCTAACAGAGAAATGACACAGGGGCGTCAGTAGGTTCGCCCTTTGTCCTTATCTCACATTTTCATTTAGGGCCTCACTTTGGCCAAACTTCAGATGCGGCACAGAGACATGGGCTGGACTGAAGACAGGAAGGAGGACTGAATGGGGACATGGCACGTACTTCTGATTGGTCACAATGTAGCCATACTCTTCTCTGATTGGTGGGCCAGATGCCGCTGTAGGCCGCACAGTGGATCCCTTGGAGGTTGTTTCCATTGCCTCTGTCTTATCATTGGCTCCCTGTGCTGTGGGGCTGACTCCTGCAGCAGTGGTCACAGTGAACATGGGGCTGGTAGCGGGTGGCTGTGCAGGGGCTAAGGTTGGAGAAGAGGCAGGTTTGTGGGCCTGTTCGCTCTTGTGTGTCATGGCAGCCTCCGTCAGCTCCATCTGCAAGGTAGGGGAGAGACACAGACATCACCTGCACATGTCATTTCATTTCTGAATGAATTAAGGTGAAAATCATCTGCACATAGCCACTGTTTGGTTATTAAGTAGAACAACAATTATCTGATTGCATTTTCCACATAAAAGGAGTGGACAAAATTTAAAAAATAAAACAAATAAAAAAGATTAACCACTACTATAAATGAAGCAGCAAAGGTTGAATGTCCGCTAGCCATATGTGTCAGCTATAAACAGTCTAACAATCAGCATTTTGATATGCGAGGGTTTCAAAACAACATGGGACAGCTAACAGGCATCTGAAGAGGCCACGGAGTCAGTACCCAAATTATCAGGGCACCATTCAGAGAAAAAAAATAAATAAAAAATTCAAAATGATATACTGAGTCAAGGGAAACATGGATAAACTGCATCAGCAAAAAGGAACAGAGGCACAAAGTTCACCAATAGGGACAGACAGCTGAAGTTGCTATTGGGAAGCCACTTGTGTCTATGACTAAAGATACATAACCTAGTGTAAGAAGCACCAAACCCAGACCAATAAGCACCAGACCCAGACCAGTAAGCACCAAACCCAGACCAGTAAGCACCAGACCCAGACCAGTAAGCGCCAAACCCAGACCAGTAAGCCCCAGACTTGCTCTGATGGGTTAATATTTGGAGAACACCAACTGTTAAACATGGTGAGGGATCCAGAATGCTGTTACAGTAAATGCCTTCTTTGATAATCTCAATCACAAAATCTAGACACTGAACCATCAGGATAAGTTCTGGAATGCAGAGTACTAAGCAAATTTCCTCCTCCTTCATCTTTCAAAAAAACATTCTTCTTGAAGAATGGCCCAATATCCTAGTAACAATTTACTTGAGGGGGCACAAATCATGTTGTAGTATACCTTTACATAATGCAGTAATTAACCAGTAACTAAGTGTTTGTTAAGTACTGATCCCATGTTCATTCATCATTAATAAATCGTGAAGGTTCATGTATTACAAGCAGTAACTATATTAATTCCTGACTTGTTCTTCAGTAGTAACTGAAAGTTACTCAAATAAAGCATTATTAATATCCCATTATACACAGTTCAGCACTTATATGACCGCATTCCAAGAGGGACTGCTATTCATATATAGTTAGGTGTTTTTTCTGTCTGATACTTCTGCATCGTGCGTGTAGAGTTTGCATGTTCTCCCTGTACTACACAGGTTACCTCCCACAACCAAGCTGCAGTTACGCTAATTTGTATTTCTAAATTGCTGATACTGTGTGGGTGTGTGCATCTGTATGATAGTGGTTAATTTGGCCATAATTAAAAAGATCCCTTTTATGAACCAGGACTGTTACAGTTGATCACGGTAAGTGATCGCAGTAATAGTGTAATGGAAAGGAGGGAAAGTGCAGTGAAACATAGGGGACACAGCCAGAGCTCCCACACAGTTCACACACCAAGCACTTCGACACAGTTCACAAAGTCAGAGCTCATGCAGTTAGAGCTCCGACAGTTTACCCAGTCAGCACTCCTATACAGTTCACACAATCAGAACTCTCACACAGTTCACACAGTCAGCACTCTGACACAGTTCACACAGTCAGAACTCCCACACAGTTCACACAGTCAGCACTCTGACACAGTTCACACAGTTAGAGCTCCTGCACAGTTCACACAATAGGAGCTCTGACACAGTTCACACATTGGGGACTCCTACACAGTGGGCAGTGGTGGCCTAATGATTGAGGAAGGGCACTTATAATCAAAATACTGCTGGTTTGAATCCCCAACCAGCAAAGTACCACTGAGGTACCCTGAGCAAACTAATGCCCCAAGCACTGCTCCCTGGGCTCTGAATTAACTGCCCCCTGATATGTCACAATATCACCTATAGTGAAATGGAGAGGACACATTTGGTTGTTGTGCACAGAGCTCATGCATAGTTCACACAGTCAACACTCTGATACAGATCACTCCGCACAGGTCATGCAGTCAGAGCCTCGACAGTTCACACAGTCAGAACTCCCACACGGTTCACAGTCAGTGCTCTGACGCAGTTCATAGTCAGAGCTCCGACACAGTTCACAAAGTCAGAGTTCCGCACAGTTCATGCAGTCAGAACTCCCATAGTCAGAACCCTGACACAGTTCACACAGCCAGAGCTATTGCACAGAATTACAGCAGTGCTGTTGGACTCACCTTCTTCTTTGCGTCCACACCATTCTTATATTTATCTAAAAACAGGGAAAATTAATATTAGCTGACATGTATAACTGCTTCTACACTGAGCCACAAGATAATAATATATAATACATTTCATTAGCAGTAGGACCTTGCAATAGAATGTGATGAGGGATGGACTGCACCTAGTCACTGATGGCATCAGGGTCCTTGCCTGTGTGGGACTGTGCAGGTGTATTGGCTTTGTGGTTTGTGAAGGTTTAATTCCATAGACTCAACCCTGTGGGTTTGACTATGTGGGGCAACCCATGTCTGGTGAACTGTACTGTTTGGGTTGATACCTGGTGTCTCAGCTTGCAGAAACTGCAGGGCTGCAGAAAGACTGTTTAGCTGCTGCAAAGTCAGGTCCCTTGGGTCAATCCCATGCCTCTCCAGCAGGGCTGCGACTCTCTGTAAATTCCTGTCTGCATGGACAGGGGTAAGGTGACGCACAAACAGTAAGTAAACTTGTTGGGAAATACTAGGAGAAGTATTTCTATTGAGAAAGACCCTTGAATTAAAGAATGGGTCATTTCCAAAATGGTAGTCACACACTTTAAGACCAAGAGTGGCAAGAAGTGTAATTTGCCGTCATGTGACTCATGCTCACCATCCTGCTTGGACAGAAAGCTAATGTTGTAATCCGGTGGGGTCTTCTTGTGCTGTTGCCGACTGACTACCTCCTCCTGCGAAATGTAGTCCTCTGCATAGTCCAGCGGTAAGTCTAGGTCATCATAGAATGATGGTGCCACCTGGTGGCGGGAGGAGGGCGGTGCGGATGTGAGGTAATAAGTGACCAGTTCCTGGAGCTGCTGCCAGTCCCTGTCCCCTTGGCGGCGGCCATCCCTCCGTGACTGAGAGGGCTGATGTGGGTATCCAGCTCCCCCCAAGGAGTTCAGGGAGCGCTCCTCTTCTTCCTGATAGCCGTACTGCAGCATACCGAGAGTAGCAGACAGAGGTATGGGAACGAGACAGAAGAATCAGCTTGTACCTGGCCTGGTTCCTGTTCTCCTGGCAGAGTGTGTCTGCCTGTAAGCATGCAGGCATTCACCTGGCGGTACGTATAGGGGTCCATGAGGGGGGCCTGCATGCGGAGAGAAGACTGGGCCGGGTCCGGTACAATCACGTAGTCAAGGTAACGCTGCACCATGGCCGGACTCAGCTGCTCCACACTGGGGTGGGCTTTGGAGCTGGGATATCCTGTCTTGGCTGAGTATTTCTCCAGGTGCTGTGAGCCTCTGAATGTTGAAAAAAAAAAGAGGAACTGAGTGCCTCAAAGTCCATAGGGGTGGGGGGGTAGGCGGCAAGCTCTTACTGTGGCCGAGGGGAGTCCCAGGGCCCCGCAGGACTGTGGCTTTGGGGAACACGGTCCAGCTCCTTGGTAATGACATACTGGGTGATGTCATCCTGCCAGGAGAGGCCTGTACAGCCATTGGCAGACACAGGTGTCAGTCGGCACACACAGCAAATGCAGACAGTCCCCACCCGATCCGTGTTCAACAGACTGGTTACACATTAGCACACCTTTTTATTTCATTGCCCATGCTTGTATGTTTACCTGTTTACCATATCTGTGGCTTATTTATGGCCAATAAAAATTAAATTGTAACCTGAATTTTTAATGGGCACCCAAGTTCAGTCTGCATTTAGTTTTGATAGTGCCTAATATGTTTGACTGCATTACATTTAGGGATTATATGGAGACCTTGATCCACATTAAAATCCTGAAGGCCTCAGTCGGTGTCCCTCACCATTAATCATAGGCCCTCCGACACGTGGCAGAGAGTTGCTGCTGGAGGGCATGGCGGGCACCACAGCCCACTCACCCTGCAACATCAGCCGCTTCAGCACCTCCTGCAGCCTCTGCAGCACAGGCACCGATAGCTGGTACTGCACACGCTCCTGCCTGGGACTCTGGCACTTCCCGAAGAGCCCATCTGGAAGAGAGCGAACGCCCAGCCGGTTAGCGGTCGCCACGCCACGCAGCCGGCAGCAGCCGGAACGGCACGCCAGTCCCTGACCAGCAGAGTCACCAGACACACGCAGGCCTCGGCTTCCAGTGCCCGTAAATTGTGCCCAACTCCAGCACCCACGCCAAGGGCTAAAAACAGATATACCAGGGAGGTGAGTCACTGCTGCTGCCATGGAGAGAAAGGGGAGTAAAAGGGGAGCAAAAGGGGAGTAGATGCTTCTCCAGGAGGGGGCTGAGAGGTCAGGCTACGATGACAGATAGTGTTTATAAACTGAAAAATAACGGTTATCACTCAGATAGACAGCCACTCGGACAGTTTACTGCTCCTGTATTTAACTAAAGTGTTTTCATGTTTAAGTAAAAGTAGCTGTGTATATCTGTACTTGTATTTGTGAGTTAAAAAAAGATCTCTATGGGAATCCGTTTGAAGGTATGTGCGTGCGTGATTGAGAGCGCTAAACCCAAGTGTGAGCGTATGCCAGTGACTCATCTCCTCTAAGAGCCGAGTGGCTGCGGGGGAGGCGACCGTACTGTTGTGGACGTGATGATGTCATTGTTGCTGGGGAGACGGCGGACTAAAAAGCTGTGATTGAGCCAAAGGCATAGCAATATTCCACAGAAAGAAGTTCTGTGTTGACACTCGTACAGCCAAATGAAATGCAATCATAAATATCGTAGATATCCGTGATACCAGAAACAGCCAACATTTCATGCCGGTTCTCTCCGCACCCTGCTTGACCTGCTTAATTACTTGCGATTTATTTAGAGGTTTTTCTTCATTATGTCATTCTATTTGTTAGCTCAGTTCCACATTTAGTTTACTTTTTCGTTGACTGTGTTGAGAAAGTTCATTCTTTTAAGCACCATATCCGCTGTCACACAAAGAGTGACGCCGAAAAGTGAGTGAAACTGACAGACCGATATCTCGTAAAATCTGGATGAACAAGAGCTCCACCAACCAGGGAAGCGGGAAAGACACAGAGCAGCTGCAGCAGAATTTCATAAATAATTCAGCGCAGACTCGCCTCGTCCGGGCCGGCTGTTGTGTTGGTGTTTCTGTGGTCTGCTGATACACAGACAGGAAGCTACACTCGTGATGCAAAGTCAAAAAAACAAAAAAAAAAAACATTACATGACCATGACAGAATATCTAAGATCTGAGCACAGTTAAAGGAGAGAGAGAGCACTAAACCCATGTGTGAGAAAGAGACTGAAGGGCAGGTCCATCTCAGCTCAATCTGAGCCATGCTGCAAACCTGCAGCATGGGCATCCCGATGCTTACCGTCGGAGCAGATCTGATCCCTGGAGCACAGCCTCTTCTCAAACAGACAGCCTGGAACAGAAGGACACAGAGAGACAAACAGAACCGTTGAGGGTCTGATTACTCTTGACACCCCTGTCACTGCACTCTGTACCGCATCCTGACAGGCGAGGGCAGCTTCCGGCTGAGCAGCCAAGCTTCTGAACAACTTACTTCAATATAATAAGATACAGATGTAGAGCCACCACATGCTAACAGCCCCGGAAGCTGCTCTGCTGCCTTGTGCATGCTGCGCTATCGCATGCTGCGCTATCGCATGCACTATCGCATGCTGCTAGCCAAGGAACAGGCCGTCACGGGCTCGCCCTATTACACATCCATTTACGTCGACTCCTCCGTGCTGATTCCACAGGTGCTTTTTGTCCAAAGTGAATACAAATATGGTAGCAATGACATAGACATCAACCGAAGCTCAATACATATATATATATCTAAATAAATATATATATATACACACACACAGCTCCGGCAAAAATTAAGAAACCACTCCATATTTTTGAAACGATCTGCATTTGTAAATCCTGGTTTAATCAAGGTTCTGCTGGCAGAAGGCTACACTGAGCAGCAGGTTGCTTTCAGGTTCAAAATTTCTAAGACAGCAGGACACAAGAACAAGGTGAAGCAGGAGACACTGGGAATGACCACAAACCAGTCAGGTAAAGGGCGGAAAGGACTTTAAAATGCCAGAGATCTCACCGTTTCTCATGAATCGGTGGATGACATCAAAACAAATGGGAAATATTAAGTGCAGGTGAGAGGTGCACTACTAGGATAGTTTGTATCAGGCTCCTAGAAGCAGGACTGAGGTCCCATAAAGCAAGGAAGAAGCCCTTCATTAATGAGAAGAGAACAGAGAAGAACTAGGCTGCACTTTGCAAAAAATATGTATTATTCACAAATGCACACCCATAAATTGAGAAATGACTGAAAGAAAAAATTGTGCTGGGGTCTCTTAATTTTTTCCAGAGCTGTATAAAGTGTAATAAGTAAATCAGTAATGGTTCAGTGTTACTACCAGGGCTCAACCCCATGCTGAATTCTCACTAACATTTTGATCACATCTTACCACATTTTACCACAGACATGGTATTTAAACATGTAACCTACATAGTTGTTTTTTTTCTCAATCAAAACATTTTGCCAGCATTTGACAATGAACAGTCTTACAATGGGCAGAATTGTCCACGTAAGGGACAGGTTGGCAATCCCTGGTTACTGCATATGCTAGCTGCTAAATCCCACAGTAATACGGCAGCCCGTACACATTTATTGTTGACGAAACAAAGAACAAATATAAAGAGGACGACATCTCCCCCAGATCCGTGTTTTTGTGAATTCTCCTCGGCCTTACACGGTAGACGCTGAACTCAAATCACTGGGGGATTTCAATACAAAGATAGAGACCAGAAGCACCAATAAATACCAGAAGCAGAATTGAGTCAAACCACAGGCAACAGCGATAACTGAATACAGCGATAACTGAAACAGCGATAGCTGAATACAGCGATAACTACAAAAAAGTGCTGCGGCTCAAACAGACCTACAGCTATCAGGGATGACACTTCCTGTGTGTCTGTGTTCCCTTGACAGTGACGCTGAGAAGGATTCTGGCTACCACTGTTTGTAAAACAGGGACATGAGGGAGGCACCCTCCGGAGATCGCCCCCTTCTGGAATGATGCCAGAAGCGCAGGAGTGTGCTTGTCAGCTGGAATCACATCACAGGGCAGACTCTGTGTGCTGCGAGGGAGCTTCCTGGTGCCTGTGGCACTCTGACACGGCCATGTGGTCCCCCCTCTCTGCCAGGGTGACTGTGTCACGTCACCTCGTCGGGAGAGGAACGACAATAACATCACAAAATATTCAATCCACAGTTACTCAGTTCTTATATTTCACGCAGAATACTCAAGATTTTACACACAGTAAAAGAAATGATTCTGTCTATTTCCTTTTCTATTGAACGTTAAAAACAAAATAAGACTTATACCATGCGTTCTCCAGATAACAATCATGGCTAACCTGTTCTCCCATGCTATTCTCATTGGCAAAAATGATTTACCAATAAAAAAAGACTAAACATTCAAGTTATTGTTCCAGAAGGTTCCAGCCATGACCCATTGCTAAAAGAGCCCATCAGTATTTTAACAGCCTCGTGCTAAGTAAGAGTGCACTCGGTGACTGCCCACACTACTCTGCCATCAACCTACCCCTACACCTCCAGACCCATTGTCGTCATCTCAGACACTCGCATAGGTGTGACGTGGAAAGAGAGCGTCTGTGATGAGTCAGGCCCTCACCCTGGAGAGCGGGGGAGCAACAGCGCGTCCACAAATACCAATGAAACCCACTCACACGCAGGAACACTGGCGTGTTAGAGCACGCATGCGGATACAGGGGCCACACATACACAGGGGCCACACACTTGGAGGGGCCCCACACACACAGAGGCAGCACAAACGGAGGGGCCCCACACACATGGACCGCACACATGGAGGGGCCCCACGCACACAGGGGCCACACATGGAGGGGCCCCACACACACATGGGCCACACACATGGAGGGGCCACACATATGGAGGGGCCCCACACACACAAGGGCAACACAAATGGAGGGGCCCCACACATGCATTTTCTAAAACTTCAATATAATTGTTGCCAGGCAAAACATTAATAATACAATGAAATGACAATCACTCATTAAGGAAGTGTATGAGTAGCAGTGTGCCAGAGAGGTCAGATGGGCACTTTCTGTGAGCACCGTATTTAGCCATATCTGCCGGAGCTTGCACATTGCACTTCATATTGCACTCATCTAACTGTTAGCACTGCCTATAGTCTCCCCTACTTTGACTAATTGCATA